ATATACTGTACAGGGAGGGCGTATCTATTTATTAATGATATCTATTTATTTATTGAGTTATATTACTATATATTAATATGACATATACTGTACAGGGAGGGCGTATCTATTTATTAATGATATCTATTTATTTATTAAGTTATATTAGTATATAATAATATGATATATACTGTACAGGGAGGGCGTATCTATTTATTAATGATATCTATTTATTTATTAAGTTATATTAGTATATATTAATATGATATATACTGTACAGGGAGGGCGTATCTATTTATTAATGATATCTATTTATTTATTAAGTTATATTAGTATATAATAATATGATATATACTGTACAGGGAGGGCGTATCTATTTATTAATGATATCTATTTATTTATTAAGTTATATTAGTATATAATAATATGATATATACTGTACAGGGAGGGCGTATCTATTTATTAATGATATCTATTTATTTATTAAGTTATATTAGTATATATCAATATGATATATACTGTACAGGGAGGGCGTATCTATTTATTAATGATATCTATTTATTTATTAAGTTTTATTAGTATATAATAATATGATATATACTGTACAGGGAGGGCGTATCTATTTATTAATGATATCTATTTGATTACTAAGTTATATTAGTTTGATATATAGGCATGAGTTATATCCTTAATAACCTATTATTCATGTATCGATATTTAATGTAACATAAGTACATCAGTGGATCGGACGGCAACTTCTTCTTTGGAGTTCAAAGAGTCGAGACTAGCTCGGGGACTTTGCTGTTGACGTTGTTAAAGTGGGTGAAAAAATGGCTACATTTTTAATTGGAATTTCCTATACTACTAAGTGGCAGTATAGTTAGAATTGGTTGCTGCAATGGACGGCGCGGTGATTGACAATAATGCTGATGCGTCTGTTGAGCATCTGAAGTCTGTGGCTAAGAGCGTGTTCGACTTTGATAATCTCAAGGAGGAACAGATAGATGTGATGCAAGCCTTGTTGAGAGACACAAAGATGTCTTTTATGCATCCCCACGGGTAAGGGTAAGATGATATTATTTTTGC